AAGCTCTATAATAATTTGCCATCTGCAATTAAAAAAGTTGATACGCTTAGCTCATTTAAACATAAAGTAAAAATGATGCTTGTAGAAAGGGCGTTTTACGACCGCCAGGAATACTTGTCATTTAATTTTAGTATTAGTCCTAGTCAACTAGCATAGGTCATACTTCATATTTTAATTTCTCTCTTTGTTGAATTGTGTATGTTGTGTATTATATATTGTATGTGGTTTGAACTTGTCACATCTACTATTTGTAGCCAGGTGATTAAATAAATTATTATTATTATTATTATTATTATAGCTGCAAATAAAATATAAAAATTATATTAGCAACAAATATTTTTCATCAAACTCATTGTATTGAACCGCTAAGAGGAGTTAAACTCTGAATAGACAACGAATTTGAAACGATTTATACACATACAAAAGATTTTTTTTTAATTCCAGTTATTGAGAATTCTAATCAAGAATTAGTTTTGTGAATGAAGATCACAAAACTAGCCATAATGATTGATATATTACTTTGTTTATTGTGTTACTGTAATTAACTAAATACACATATAATACTGCATAAAAATCGTTATTGCTGACAGGATGTTTCTGTAAGTCGTGGTTTAATTTTAATCACAAATACTAGAGTAAAAGTGATGTAAAAAGTTTTTTGTCTAAACCTATAATAAATAAACAGTGCGATGTTATTGTGTTATTAGTGGAAGTCGTTTAAGATGACTTTTGAAAATAAGCAACCATGGAATCAAAATTCGATTCAAAAGTCTATTTTATATTAAAATTATTTTCACTCTTAGAAATTTTTGATTAGACCCATCGTTTTCGAGTTATTCATAAAAAGATTCAAGAACGTTTTTGAAATGTTGTCATTAATCGTAAGTTAATTCGAACAAAGTGATTTACTCACAACAATAATAACAAATTACAAAAATAACAACAAAAACAACTCATCACACGTAAATACTACTGGTCACACGGATATCCAGCAACTATCCGGTATCCTCCCTACCCGGTAATTTTTTAAAATCCGGCCGGATAGCTTACCGGCTTTGGCCGGATATTAGAAACCTATTACTTAGTACTCCACGATTCACAGGAATTAGTATCTCTTTTAGGTGTTGGACACTGCAGATAATAATCAAGTTCAACCCCAATAGGACTTTTTTTCATTGAATACAACTTTATTTATATCAGGTTTGTCATTAGCAACCTCACTGTAACAATCCCAATACGATATATAAAATCTCTTGTTGCAGTTTCGTCTAGTTTTCTTCTCTTCGCTTGTACTTCATCATCACGTTCATTACTAACAGAACTATCGCTGTTGTCACTTTCAATTATTAATTAAAGTATCTTCTTTTTAATGCTAAAAGCCGTTTTGAAAAATCACTTTCAGTTCTTGAGAAATAAATTTTTGAAATGATCGAAAATTTTTTCGAATTTTGCAGTTTTCGACGATTAAGTTTTAAAAATTCGTATAAAATCCAGTTCTTGGAATATGAGTATGAAAATTTCCCAAAGTGTTAATAAAAGTGTCGTCTTTCCAATAAACCAAAAAAATAACGTTTAGTTTTTGAAACAACAATATTTGAAATATAAGTACGAAGGCTTTCACGGCAGATATTAATTGAACTAAAACTAACACTAGCACTATCACAAGAACTAACACTAGACCTAGAACTAAAATCTTTCGGGTTAAGCCGTGCGTTTTTTGAAAAAATGTTTGACGTTTCGGATGTCATGTTGCAACCTTCTTCAGAAACAAGTTCGAAGTGACGAATTCGTTTTAAAATTTGTCAATAAATACATGAAAAGGTAATTAATAACTAATTAGTGTCTACTTGTCAACTAAGTTGTTTTGTCAAATCCGGGTGGAGAAGGCTTCGTTGAGTTCACCAACATCTTCCATGTGCGGCTGAGTTCCCAGTTATCTTCTCTATTCATGTTATTCCCATGTCGATGAATCTCTATCGCCTCTCTCGTCAATCTTTGGAAGTAATGTCCGTTTCTTGCTAGCACTTTGGTTTTCTCGACCTCTATGCTGTGTCCTCCTTTGTGGCAATGCTCTGCGACTGCAGATTGTTGGATCTTCCTTAGTCGGACGTCTCTTTCGTGTTCCTTGATGCGGCACTCGATGTTACGTCCAGTTTGGCCAACGTAATATTTTCCGCAACTGCAAGATAGCCGGTAGACTCCAGCTCCCTTTAATGGGGTTAGTTTGTCTTTGGCTATCGGAAGAGCGTTTAGTATTTTGCTGACCGTACCGTATCGTACCACGATATCATTCTTCTTCAGACGCCTTGCAATTCGCTCCGTCACACCTGAAACATAAGGAAGGCAGATAAAACCGGCTGGTGTCGTACTTACCGAGTCATCCTTCTGTTTGTGTGGTTTGGTGGATCGTCGGATATCTCTCATCGTGTAGCCGTTCTTCTGCAGCACATCTTCTAGGAATCTTTCTTCTTTTCTTAGGTTCTCTTTATCGCATATCCTCTCTGCTCGCTGGAATAAGGCTTGAATCACGGACCTCTTCTGTTATGGGTGGTGGTGGGATGAAGCCTGCAGGTACCTATTCGTATGTGTCTTCTTTCGATATACTCCCAGTTCCATGCCCCCATCTGTTTTCCTAGTGACTAACACATCCAGGAATGGCAGCTGTTTTGCATTTTCTGTTTCCATGGTAAATTTTATCATGGGGTGCTGTGAATTGAGGTGGTCTAGAAATTCCCGGAGTTGCTCTTTTCCATGTTGCCAGATCACGAAAGTGTCATCGACGTAACGGAGTCATAGCTTCGGTTTCCAAGGACTCTTCTTTAGCACCTCCTCTTCAAACATCTCCATGTAAAAATTGGCAGCCATGGGATCACCTCTGTCTCCTGTGATAGAGAGATTTTATAAGAGATTTTAGTTCTAGGTCTAGTGTTAGTTCTTGTGATAGTGCTAGTGTTAGTTCTAGTTTTAGTTTAAACAATATTTGAAGTTTTGATAAAATTTTGGATGTTGCAATTTTCATCAATAACTTTCAAAATTCGCTGTAAAATTCATTTCTTGAAGGATCCTTGTGGAAATATCACCAATTATTAATTATAGTATGCTCTTTTTAATGCAATAGGGCGTTTTGAAAAATCACATAAGGTTCTTGAGAAATAAATTTTTGAAATAATCGACAATTTTATGGAATTTTGCAATGTTAGCCGATTAAGTTTTAAAAATTTGTATAAAATCCATTTCTTGGAATATGAGCTTCAAAAAAATTTACCATCCCAAGACATCAGCACTCCAAATACACCTCCTAAAACATCAAATAATCCCGAACTGTCTACCATTGTTAATATATACAATTATTTAGGAGGTTCATGCCTAATCTCGCCCTAAATGAAATCAAAAACATCACTATTATATTTCAAAATAAAACCAATAAGGAACGATGAAAAATTTTTTTTGAAAAAATTTGCACCATAACTTCTAAATTGTCCATTCTCAGCGACTTGAATTCTTCAAAACACATATTAATAATATTAAATAAATACTTGACGTTGAAAAATATGTAAACAATTTATGTATTTTAACAATACTGATTGTGAGTGAGGTTCATGTTTATGAACTTCGTATTTGTGTTAACACCTAAAGCATTAATGCCGCAAAATAATCAATAATCTTGTAATCACAGCAATCTTCCGTTAATTAGGTACTCTACCATCTTGTAAACTTCACTTTGTTATTACTGTTACCATTGATAAGATGATTTATTCTTCGATGAGTCGTCGTCTTGATCATTACCTTTTACTACAAAGAGAAGATTTCAAAAGAAGATATTCGTGCAAAAGTCTATTTTTTTAATGCCAGATTACTTAGTTTTTGGAGAAGAATTATTGGAGATTAAAATAAATTATGTAATTAAATTACTTTGTTCTTAGATATAAAATTTTTCTAATTTTTTTTTAATTTAAAGCTTTATCAAATTATCTTGTTTTTATCAGCACCGTGAACTCCACATTTTTAAGAATAAAAGTTTTTATGGTAATATTATCAGAGGAAATCACTTGAAGTGTTTTTTAATTAAAATGGGATGTAGGAACTAATATTATACATTGAAAGAGTTATCCATGTTGCAAGAATAATGATCAAATAAAAACCATATAAAAACTTCTAACTTGCGTTTATTTATATAAAGTCGTACTAGTTTCGGGTTACCCCATCATCAGCGACAACTATAAAGAGTACGAAAAATAAGATAACAATCAAAAAGTGATAAATATAATAGAGTGATGTTAACTCGATAAAAAATATATAGAATATATAGAAATTATTTGTAGTAGTTGTTAATTTCTCCATAAAAAGTTTTCCATTTTGATTGTTTTTGCCTCTAAGTTTAGATTATTTTTGTTTGATTTAAGATTAGTTTAAGGTTTTTCGCGTATTTTTAAATAACGTCTTATATTTTAACTTAACTTCTAACTTTTATTTCAACAAAATTTATTATTTATAAAAAAATATATTTTTTATCGAGTTAACATCACTCTATTATATTTATCACTTTTCGATTGTTATCTTATTTTTCGTACTCTTTATAGTTGTCGCTGATGATGGGGTAACCCGAAACTAGTACGACTTTATATTAATAAACGCAAGTTAGAAGTTTTTATATGGTTTTTATTTAATATTATACAGGTATTATTTTTTTTAATCTTTGGATATTAATTATATTCTTTGAAAACCACTAAATTAAATATTTATTAATACTAATAAAAAATCTAACATTTACAGAAACATCTTTCGTGTTAAACAATGAGTAATCTCAAACTGTAAAACATGTGGTAGTATCAATTATTATCGGTAATATCTTAAGTAGTATGGTCGCAATATTACCGGATATCTAATTAAAGATATTATTACAAAATAGATTCAAAATAAAAAGTACAATTATGTTGTATCATCTTTATTTTATTTGATTATTACTAAATATATAAATTATTTAGGTCGTTACTAGGAAATTATGCATGTGGACATTTGGCATCAACAGGATAATCACAAACATTCAAAACGGGGTTGAAATGTAAACCATCAGGACATGGCATATCATACGCTACTCCCCAATCACATTTACAATATCTATCACAAACCTTAGGATGGGAATGGAAGACGGGGAAATCACCATTTTGAGATGGGCATACGACGCTAGAGCAATCATCACCAGGAACTGGAGATGTTACTGGTGTTTGAGTGGAAGTTGTAGTGGTATCATCGGGTAATACGTCATCGGTAGTTGGATCCGGTTTTTGCGTGGTTGTTGGAAGTGGGGCTCCATTGCAACCAGCATCTTCAGGCCAATCACAGACGTTTAATTCGGTGTTAAAATGTAATCCAGTTGGGCATGGCATGTCATGAACAGTACCGTAGTTATCGCATTTACAATATCTTCCACAATCTTTAGAATGTGCGTGGAATACTGGGTATGGACCAGGAGTGTAAGGACAACTCACTGATGCACAATCTCCAGGTTTAGGAGTGGTTATAGTGGGTGTTTGGGTTGTAGGCGTTGGTGGAGCTGGAGTTGTTTTTTCAGTGGTAGTTGTTTTTGGAGTGGTAGTCGAACCTCCATTACATCCAGCATTTTCTGGCCAATCGCAAACATTTAAGTCGGTATTGAAATGTAATCCAGCTGGGCATGGCATGTCATGGACAGTACCGTAGTTATCGCATTTACAATATCTTCCACAATCTTTAGGATGTGCGTGGAAAACTGGATATTGTCCAGGAGTGTAAGGACAAGTCACTGATGCACAATCTCCAGGTTTAGGAGTGGTTATAGTGGTTGTTTGGGTTGTAGGCATTGGTGGAGCTGGAGTTGTTTTTTCAGTGGTAGTTGTTTCATCAGTGGTAGTTGGTTTTGGAGTGGTAATCGGGCCTCCATTGCATCCAACATTTTCTGGCCAATCGCAGACATTTAATTCAGTATTAAAATATAATCCAGCTGGGCATGGCATGTCATGAACAGTACCGTAGTTATCGCATTTACAATATCTTCCACAATCTTCAGGGTGAGCGTGGAAAACTGGGTATTTTCCAGGTGTATACGGACACGTTACGGATTCGCAGCTTCCAGAATTAGGGGTTGAATCAGGTTGTGTAGTTGGAATTGACGTCCCAGTAGTAGGTCCAGCTGATCCACTACATTCCGCGTTTTCTGGCCAATCACAGACGTTTAATTTAGAGTTAAAATGTAAATCAGAGGGGCAGGTGTATAGTACAGGTTTCCCCCAGTCACATTTATAGAATTTATTGCAGTCTTTATCATCGACAAGGAAGTCTACGTAAGCACCATTAGTACTTGGGCATACTCCAACAGGATCCGCACCAATTCCAGCGATACTCAAAAGACTTAAAGCAGCTATAGCTATAAATGAATGATAAAAATTATATTAGCAACAAATATTTTTTATCAAATTGTGTCTTACCTCTCATCATTGTATTGAACTGCTAAGAAGGAGCTAAACTCTGAGTAGACAACGAATTTGAAACGATTTATATACACACAAAATATTTTTTTCTTATTGCAATTATTGAGAAATCTAATCAAGGATTTATTTTGTAATGTTCATCCGGTTTTCATGATTGATGCATTATTTGTTAAAACAATTGTGTACACACAAAAAACGGATTAAAAATCATTTAAAAAGTATTTTTATTTGATTAAAGAAGCGGCAACAGACGTACAAACAATTCATAATTCAATTTGTTTTATGTTTTGATACAAACAGTATTGTGCTAGCAAATGTTGAAGTAAACAACAAATATTTATTGTTCAATTATGCACCCTTTATAGAAAATAAAATTTAAATCTCAATACAATTCAGTCTACACAGAACTGCACTATATCAAGTGTAATCAGACAATATCAATCAATTACCTGTAATAATTAACCTTGGGGACCAATTAGAAAAATATTTACCTATCGATTAATTTTATTAATTTAAATCGTCATGAAATAGCTGTCACTAACTGAGAGAGTAATAATAAAGATTTGTACTTTCAGAAAATTACAAAAGAAGAAGATTGCAAAACTTCAGTACCAAACATAAGTAAAAATAAGAAGAAAAGTATCGATAAATAAGGATAATTTTAAAATGAATGTTTTATAAAAACATAATATTAAGCTCAAATTTTATTTATATAACACAATCATTTAATTGAGAGAAAATTAATTTATTCACATCCTGCATCAGCTGGCCAATCACAAACATTGAGTTCGGTGTTGAAATGAAGTCCATCTGGGCATGGCATATCATAGGCAACTCCCCAATCGCATTGGCAGAATCTACCACAAGTTTCAGGGTGGGCAAAGTAATGAGGGAAATCACCATTTTCTTTTGGGCATGGATCATTGGGGCATCTGCCTTGACCGTTTCCATCGCCACTTTCGTTACTTTCGGAGCTAGAGCTAGAGCTGCTAGAATCTTCTTCGACATTGTCATCTCCTCCCTCAACTTCTTCATCACCTCCATCAACTACTTCTTCATCATCGTCCCCTTCATTGCTTTCGCTGCTGCTACTGCTGCTGCTGCTTCCACTGTCATTTCCACTGTCATCTCCACCATCACCGTTGCATCCAGCTTTATCTGGCCAATCACAGACTTCCAATTCTTTGTTGAAATGTAAATCAGATGGGCAATCGAATTTGACGGGTTTTCCCCAATCGCATTTGTAAAAGACGGTGCAATCTTTATCATCTACCAAGAAATCAACTTTATCCGGATTCATGTCGTCGGGGCATTCACCAACTGGGTCGGCTTTGGCATATTGGAAAGCCAATACAAAGGTGGCACATAACAAGAATGTAGCTAAAATATAAGATATAAAGTTATAACTAAGCTTATTATATTGAAATTGTTATGGACTCACCTTTCATTTTGATATTTAGTCAAATTGCTGTGATGAACCAATTCGAATAATAATTTAAGTATGCGGCGGCCCTATTTTATAGCATAAATAAAAAAAAATGCCGATAATTTAATTATAAAGAACAAATTACTATAATTGGTAATTAATTAGTGTTGATAAAAGCGAGATAATTAATAATAGCCAATAGATATTTATCTATTGCTACCAACACAATAGTTCAATACATATAGTGTATTAAAAGTTCATACAAAAAATATTAATGGTTATCGATCAATGAAACCGGATATAATATGATTTCTTTTCGCTTTGATGCAAGGCATACGTGTATTATATGAAAATACATTTTTAAATAAAACATTTGAGTTATTATATTCTTCTTCCATGAACCTTTTAGTTGGCCTATTAGTTCATTCCAAATTTGAAACAATCCAAAAAGTTCGTAGATATCGCAAAATCATTGTTTAGCTTTCCATTATTTCTCAAAATGATGTTGGCAAAAGAATTACTTTATAAAAACGGCGATATTTCATAAACAAAAGTCGACATGAAATATGAAACTCAATACAAAACGTTTGGGTGTTATAACAAAACGGGGGGGGGTTAGGTTAGGCCGTCTTATAATGAAAGTAACTTCTAAGTTACCCATATTATTTTACATAAAATTTTAAAAATAGCCAGTATAATAGGGCCGTTAAGGTCAATCGATTAGAAAGACCGTCTTTCAAAAAATCGATAATCTATATTAAATTAGACGGATTAGTAACGTTTTCAATAAAAAAAAATACTGAACGGCCCTATTTAGTGTTTCAATATGGTTATGCAGAAAAATTGCTTCCTTCAAAATGGTTAGGGAGTAAGAAACGAAATATTTTCAGGTTATAAAGAAATGCTTGAGGTTAAGTTTAGCCAAATTATAAGTTTCCAGGGCTGTTAATTTATTTTATATAAAATTTTAAAAATTTCTAGTTGTGTTTGACGCATCTCGAGAATGTATTCTCGAGATGCTTCAAAAATTATTCTCTCCTAAACAGTTAGGAATTAAGAAATGAAATATTTTGAGGATACAAAATTATAAACTTCTGCTATTCTTTCCTTCCACTTCTTCCTAGGTCTTCACCTCTTTTTCTTATCCATATTCTTTGCTTCAAATACCGTTTTTTTAAGTCAAATACCAAGTTTTTCGAGACGATGAATTTCCATCCTCATTTGTCACTAACCGCAAGATTAGACATGACACTTTAAAGAGGTGATTTATCAGAGAAGGCAGAGACAAATCAAAAACTATCAAACAGTCATGATGAAAGACTTAAGCGTAGCTAATAATAACTCTTTTGCTAAGTATTGACCTTCAGTATTCCCTCAACATCTTCTTCACTAGAAGCTATTCCAAAGGCCGTGCCGAGAATGCTACAAAAAGGAAGAAAGAAAGGTAAAACACATATTTACTGATTATTTCCTGAACAGAAAAAAAAGTGGCAAAAGAAAAGCAATTTCCACAAAGCTGGTCACTTAGTAACCACTGAATGCTTTTTGATAGGATGCAAGTAGCTCTCAAATTGATAGAGACTTACTTGGCGTGACGAACAAAGACTTTCTGTGAATCCTAAGAAGACAGAGTTGATTCTTTTCACACGGATTAGGAAGTTTGGCAAGCCCAGAATGCCATCCCTTGCTAATATTCCATTGGCGTTGTCAAAAGACGTTAAATATCTGGGCATCATACTTGACAATAAAATAACATGGAGAGCACACCTAGATAATAGAGTAAAAAAGGCGTACGTTCTATTCGGTCAATGCGGAAGGGCTATAGGTAAGGCATGGTGTTTGTCACCCAAAAATGCCCTCTGGATTATACGGCTGTAATCCGACCTATGCTTACATATGGTGCAGTAGTATGGTGGTCAAAGACCTTATAGTCTACATCCACTGATGTACTTAATAAAGTACAGAGACTTGCGTGTTTCTATGTTACAGGTGCGCTGCGGACTACCCCCACTGCAGCCATGGAAAAATGTTGAACCTAACGCCACTTCATTTGTTCATTCAAGAGATGGCACTGGTGACTATGATTCGACTGCGGGCAGCATGAATTCTAATGGGTGAGAGTGATAGTAAAAATGCCATTCTCTGGAATGAAATGGTGGACTACTCACCAATTGTAGAATGTAAAACGGACTTCACATCCCTACAACACATTTTTACGAAGAAATATCTCACCCACCCAAGTTCCACAGAAATAGAGGTAAAAAACAGCCTTAAAATCTACACTGATGGTTGAAGTAGACGGGAAGGAGCTGGAGCCGGACTCTTCTCGTACGATCTCCGACTCCACGTATATGAACCTCTAGGTAAAAGTACCACCGTCATACAGGCGGAGTTAATCGCCATACAAATTGTCGCTGACGTTATTGTCAGATCCAACTTGGTAGGTAAGACTTTCACAATATACACTGACAGTAGACAAACTATTTTAGCCCTGAGTAGAATAACAATTAGCTCAGGACTTGTTATGGGTTGTTGTCTGACATTGGAGAATGCCGCAGTGCATAACTGTGTTAAACTTCAATGGATAAAAGAACAGTCGACCTGTTCAGGTAACAAGCACGCTGATAGGTTTACCAAAAGGGCTGCCAAGCGAGCGCCATGTTCGCTTGAACCGATAATGCTGCGTCCTTATCAATTCAGATTTAGATAATAAAAGATTTTACCCACAAAAAATTTATGAACTGGTGGGATAGGGTTGAGGGCTGCCATCTGTCTAAGGAAGTATTCCATTATCCCTCAGCAGAGGGAGCCTTGTCTTTTGTAAGGCTTGGTAGAAACGCTCTACGAACTGTAACGGGACTCGTCACAGGTCACTGTAAGGTAAACAAGCATCTTTATAACCTTAAGCTTGCTGTTAGTCCTCTCTATCGCCTCTGTGAAGACCTCAGAATGAGAGACTTCGGAGAGTAATGGCCGAGCACAGATGGGATCAGGAACACACCTCTGAGCTGTATCCTAGCCTTCGGAAATTCCTTAAGGTGAAGCATACCCTCCCCTTTCCTACATACATACATACAAGCAATTTCCAAAAAATTAAATGAAAGGAGTGTCCAAACGACAGTTCCTCAGATGAAGATAATAAAAAAGTCCAAAACAGTTCCAGCAGTGAACAAGGAACCCTATTAGAAAATATAAAATAGGAATGTGGAAGAGAAGATTAAAGAGTATTTTGTCCAAGGTAATTTAAATAAATGCGATTTTGCTTTGATAAAATTTCTTAGAAAAAACGTGTTTATTTTTATGTTGGTGAAATTACTAACGTCTTGTCTATTTCCAAGTTTCAAGCAAAATATTATAAAAGGATTGGTAATACCAGAAGATTTATGCCGGATCGAAATGACGAGTATAATGTCCTCATAAAAGACATTATTGGAAAACTTCCACATCCGGTTATTCAAGGTTCATTGACAAGACAAGTAATTATATTTGAAGTATATTTTCATAATACAATGTTAAATAATTCTTAATGTTAATGTCATGTTGTATCTAAAAGCTATTAAAGATTATATTCTAGCTTATTCCTTCGTATAAATACCTAGCTATTGCTTTTGTCGTATTAATACCTGAAGCCTACCCCATTCCATTTTATTTTGTTTAATAATTTATTTCCATTTCTATATCGTTTTTGTAAAACGTCAACATTGTATACAAAGGTCTAAAGAAATTGTTAGTACATACAGTGTGTCCCCGGATTGTGTCCCCGTAAGGTATAATTGACGATAAATTTTTGAATTCAAATTCCATATTTTGCAATTAACGTCTGGATGTCATAAAACGAAATATAACCAAGTTTTACGTCAAATATCCTCAAAGTACCAAAGTTAACGCAAGAAGTTTGTTAACCGCTGTAGGTAAAGTGGTCTTTCTGAGCAATGTACAACAAAAATTGATTAAAATAAAATGTTTGTTATGTTAAATTATAGCGATATGCCGAATTTTATTAATTTAACATATAAAAGAAAAAATGAGTTTTTTCTTGAAAATTTTACATTATTGTAAAATCATGTTTACATTACAACGTAAAATATTTATAGTGCAGTGCTATGGATTGGGGAACATCAGTTACAATGCAGTTTTAAGGCAATTTGAGGAAAAATTTGGATTGAAATGGAAAATCTGGAAGAGAGTTGTTAAAATATTTTCGGAAACGAGCAATGTGGAAAATAAAAGGAAGGAAAAAAGCTTTTAGATGAACATGATGCGGGGTCGATTGTTGCAGTAACGAACGCAATGGATTATGGTAAGGTGTCGTATTATAAACCAAAATTTAACCACACTATCGAATTAGGTGATGAAGCAAAACGTTTAGATTATTGTATGTGGCTTGGGTACAACATTTTGAAAGACAGAATTTTTTTAAAAAACATAAAAACATTGCGGCCCACATTCGACCATTTTAATTAGAAATTATTTAAATACGTTATTCCGAAAAAAATGGATTGGTGGATATGATCCGCAACCATAGTCGCCAAGAAGTCCGGATTTATTTATTATGGATTTTTATTTTTGAGGTTATGTAAAACAAAAAGTGTACACTGAAAATTTGAATAACAATTTAGATCATTTAAAACAAAAAAATTGAAACTGCTATTAGAGAAATTCCGTTGGACCATATTAGAAAAAGTTATAAACAATGTCGGAAAAGGGCTGAATTATGTGTTAGTGTTGGTGGTATGATTGAATAAGCTTTTATGTTAATTTAGTTTAGATCGAAAATGTTTTGTTAATCTTATGATTTAAAAATTTGCATTTTGATTTTATATCCTACATTAATAAAATTCGGCATATCGCTATAATTTAACATAATAAACATTTTATCTTAATCAACTTTTGTTGTACATTGCTCAGAAAGGCCACTTTACCTGCAACAGTTAACAAACTTCTTGCGTTAACTTTGGTACTTTGAGGACATTTGACATAAAACTTGGTTATATTTCGTTTTATGTCATCCAGACTTTAATTGCAAAAGATGGAATTTGAATTCCAAAATTTATCGTCAATTATACCTTACGGGGACACAATCCGGGGACACACTGTATATTTGAAAATTTTAAAAAATTGTGTTTTTAGAAAAAAAAGTTATATTTCAAAAATGTCCCATTGTAGAACACTCTCCGCTAATAATAAATAGATCAAATGCTTTAAGTGAATAATTATAAACAAAAACTAATTATTAATGAATAATTAAATTTTATTTGTGTTCAGTTAAGTAACATTTTTATGGTAATAAGTATATTATTCACATCCTGCATCAGCTGGCCAATCGCAAACATTAAGTTTGGTGTTGAAATGAAGTCCATCTGGGCATGGCATATCATAGGCAACTCCCCAGTCGCATTGGCAGAATCTACCACAGGTTTCTGGATGGGCAAAGTAATGAGGGAAATCACCATTTTCTTTTGGGCATGGATCATTTGGGCATTTGCCTTGACCGTTTCCATCGCTACTTTCGTTACTTTCGGAGCTAGAACTAGAGCTGGAGCTACCAGAATCTTCTTCAACATTGTCATCTCCTCCCTCAACTTCTTCATCATCACCTCCTTCAACTACTTCTTCATCATCGTCTCCTTCATTGCTTTCGCTGCTGCTGCTGCTACTGCTGCTTCCACTGTCTTCTCCACTGTCATCTCCACCATCACCGTTGCATCCTGCTTTATCGGGCCAATCACAGACTTCCAATTCTTTGTTGAAATGTAAATCAGATGGGCAATCGAATTTGACGGGTTTTCCCCAGTCGCATTTGTAAAAGACGGTGCAATCTTTATCATCTACCAAGAAATCAACTTTATCCGGGTTCATGTCGTCAGGGCATTCACCAACTGGGTCGGCTTTGGCATATTGGAAAGCCAATACAAGGGTGGCACATAACAAGAATGTAACTAAAATATAAAAAATAAAGTTGTAGCTAAGTCTATTAAATTAAAATCGTTATAAACTTACCTTTCATTTTGATATGTAGTCAAATTGCTGTTATCGAACAATTCGAATAATAATTTAGGCGTGCGAAAACCCTGTTTTATAGTATAAATCAAAAAAAATGCGGATAATTTAATTATAAATAACAAATTACTATAATTGGTAATTAATTTGTTTTGATAAAGGTAGAATAATCAATAAAAGCTAATAGATATTGATCTGCTACCGACACAATAGTTCAACACTTATGGAGTTTTAAAACAAAAGAAAAAATGTAGATCGTTATCGATCAATGAAAATTATATTGTCCAATTATTGGCTTTGATTAAATATTTTTAGCTATTCATACATATCTGCGAGAATTTAATCGTTTCATTGCAAAAGTCCAATGTCAAACTCTTCATCATTCATAAGAATGAACGAGGGTGAGGCAGAGTATAAAGAAACACCCATCCTGTACAAATCATACCTTATCAGCAATATAATCTTTCATTTTTTGACATAAAAATTGTGTAATATATTTACGATTATTTCTCTCAAAAACTATCTGAGGAAAAAATTTCAATTTTATACAGAATAAGAAAATATGACCGAGAGGTATTTTAAGGCGAAGGAGTTGGAGGTAAATGTCGAGAAGACAAAGATCATGAAGTTCTGCAAAGTGGGGAGAAGAAAGATGGAAGAATACAGGGAGTTCATGTATTTGGGATATGGGTTCTCGGAGGGTAACAATTTTGGAAGCGAATTTTGGAAGTTTGGAAAAGGGAAGGTTATGGTTGAGGGCAGAGGAGAAGTATGGGTATGGAAAAAACATGGGTTGCTGGAGGATGTACAAACAAGGTATTAGCAATGGGTAGTGGGGTTGGCAAACTAGACTTCAGAGGAGAAGTTAAGGTGGATGGAATAACGATGGAAGCTAAGAGAAGACCAGTGAAGTACAAGGAATAGATAGTAGCAAGACCGCATTGCAGAATCTTGGAAGAGTGCTGCAGGGAAATTAGGGAGAGGAGGAAGTTTTGATTTCCTAACATTTGTACAAGAACTTGAAGCACACGATTTCCAAAAAAAAACTAGAATTTTCGGAATGGGCATTAGAAAAAGCTCAACAAGAATACATTTTTTTGATTATTTTTTATGCAGCGATGAGGCGACGTTCCATAAAAGTGTCTATGTTAACCGCCATAATCTTCATTACTACAATACTGTCAATCCTAATTTTATACGACCAGTACACTACCAACATCGATTGTCCTTAAATGTCTGGACAGGAATTGTAGGATCTTATTTGTTTGGGCCGTATTATTTTCAGGGAACCGTTAACGGAGAATCTTATTTGAATTTTTTGGAAAATCACCTGCCAGCACTTTTAGGAGATGTTCCACTAAACGTTCGGCAAAGAATGTGGTTTCAGCACGACGGTACACCTCCTCAATATAGTAGGATTGTTACAACATATTTAAATAATATTTTTGCTGATTTCTCCCGATTTGACTAAATTGGATTTCTTTTTGTGGGGATATGTAAAGAGCTTGACATTTGAAGAACCACCAAAAGCAAACGCAAAGATGTTCAATCGTATTCGAGAAGCGTTTGGAACAATTCAACGTAAACATGCTGCAGAACGATAGTGGTTTGTTTCTTGGACGAATTCAATCTTGGGTTCAACGACAAGGAGGCTATATTGAATATTTACTTTAATTTCGTTTTGTTACTCTTTGGTAGTTAATACTTCATTGTATTTCTTAATGCTATTGTCTGTGTACCTATGTAAACTTTTTCCTCTTTTACGAAATAAACTTATTTATATTTGTTCAAAAATGTCGTTTGTGAATTCCATAGCCTACTTCTTATGAATAAATCATGTTTATGCCAATATTTTTAAAACAGTTCAATTATCTTAAAAAATACCCGTATTAGATGTACAGCTCTGTTCAGATTTAATGCGAATCGGCCGCTGTTAGCTCCGACATGACGCTGGTACTGGAAGAAGACGGAGACATCTTTTGTTTCTATTCAATTCGATTTCTGAGACTAAAGGAAGAGGGTAAAACCCAGGTAAAATCGTCCCAGTTTGAAGTGGGCCGAAGAATGGATCACCCTTTTTTTAAATGTGTTAATTTTATTTTATTTTAAATCTTTTTTGATATTTTTAAGCACAACAAATACACGATTTTTTATATGTTCCTCTAATAAATGATTTTAGAGTATTTCTATAAATAAAACGTCAGATAAAATTCATTCATGACCGGGTAGCTGTAAAAAGCCCTAATTACGGAGCAATCGGCTACAACACGGTTACGATTTGCCCGTGAATACCTTGAGTATAATTGGGAACCAGTCATCTTCACAGACGAAAAAATCTTCTGTTCGTCGGACGACCATAAGAAATTACTATGGCGAAGGGGTTGAACCCGGTATGATGCTAATCATGTTCAACCCAATACAAGAAGTGGTCGCATTTCCTTGGGTTATTGTGGATGGATGAGCATTCATGGACTGGGAGAACTGACCGAAATTAAAGGAAGATTTAATTCGATTTAATACATTCGAGTGCTGGAGCATGTTTTGATACCACCAGTAAGAACCTGTATCCAGAAGGGATCATCACGATAGTCCAAGACAATTCGCCCGTGCATTCTTCAAGAATTGTTCATGATTCACCGGATCTAAACCCATTTGAAAATCTATGTTCTTTGGTGGAAAAACAGTTCATAAAAATGCCAAATTTCCTTTTCGCAACGTGGATAATCTGCGCCGCAACATTACAGTTGTGTGGGAATTGTTTCGCGGCAGGGATGTATGCGAAAGATTAGTAAATTCGATGTCCACCAGATTGCAATGTTGCATAGAGAATAATGGGTATTTGGGGTATTATACAAAATACTGATATTTGATGGTATAATCGACCATATGAAATTCTCCCCAATTAGATTATTATAATATTTATTATATTTTATATGTATAATAATATATTATATTTTTTGTTATATAGGAGTGTTATATTTTATTATATTGATTTTTGATTGTTTGATTTTATTACATTAAAATGGTTTGCGATATATTTCAATATATGTATAGTTTATATATAACTTATTATCAATATACCATTTTCATTTCTTGTGAGGTTCGACTTATCCTTCCACAGTATTACCAAAGTAATACAGTAATTATTAGTAATTATTTTCATTTACTACAGGAATTGTCTAAAGTAAATAAGACTATATTTACTGTAAATGAATTGCTTATACCTATTTATTTTCTTAATTTTTCTTTGTGATTCAGTCATCTTGGCCATAAATCACACCACCCCGCTTGCCTGTTCGGAACTTTTACAAGACTACAGAGCAGGTAAAACCGAATTGAATGCCTCGTGAACGTAGGTCGTTTCTAGCACAATTTTATGCCTCTACGAGCGGCTCTTTTCGCATTTTATCTGAACAGAACTGTACCACATGCTTAACAAAAATGAAAGGTAATTAATAAGGCATTCCGAAGCTTCAGAAAAATATAGGGTGTTCCATTTAAAATAAAAAAGTTATTGTTCTCCAAAGATTACATAAATTAATTGCTTCTGGTAAACATCCTGCATAATAACATCCAACAGTATTAGCGGTGATCGAAAGACCCAAGCTTTGTTTATCGACATGCCAAATTGCAATCTTCAATATTTAGTAATAATGCTGATAACGAATTTTAAGTGATTACATGAACTTTCAAAACTGTTCGCAAAATAATTAATAAGTTGGCAACCTTGCATTCAAAAATTGAAAACAAGATATGGAGTTGTAGCATTTAAGACAGCTAATCAGCATATGTAACAAAATGCATAATACATAGGGTTCCATTTAAAAAAATTAAGTTGAGTACGATCGTCGAATAGTGTTCTGTTATTTTAAACAGTAAAGCCACTATCTTCCCGCCCTGCACTATTGACTCACTGTATATGTATATTGGTATAAAATTGTGAACATTTTTGTATACAATGCCGCCAAAGACTGTTAAGTAAGGTTACTTTTATTTTGAAATGTCAATCATCCCGGGACATATGCTTAGGTAAGGTTAGTTTTGTTTTGTTAACAGGACAAAAAATGAGGCCGCGAAAATGTTCGCAACCTCAATATCACGATACGAATTAAAGTCTGTTTAACAGTCTACTATCGCAATTGAACCTTCGTAATAGAGGACGTCTTTACATGGCCTTTATTATGATGAGTAATTATTAATATCACAGTAAAGTCAAAAGTGTGTCATCATTCATCATTCGTCATTGATGACACTACTGCTAGGAGGTGTTAGACACAAACCTTGAGACACGTCTTCCCTTTGCCAGTTAAAAGTAATATTTTCAAGTATACATTTTTCTTGCTTTTGATGAAGAAAATTTATCGATTATTACTTCATCAAAGTCGATAATTTCAAACTTTTCTCTTTCCACATTTAAGGAAGCTGGTCACATAGGTCAGTGTTTATCAACCTTTCTCATCTTGCGAACCCCTTATAAATCAGAAAAAAATTGACGAGTAGTTGTTACAAGTACGAAAAAAATTAATTTTGTAGATTTTTTTTATTTTCCATGTTATACAAGACCATTATATCATACAAGACAACTGATACAATAGTGTTAATTCATAACAAAAAATAAAAACATCATCTTTTTACGATTGTAAAAAGTCTAAACAAACTAAATGAGATACTTGCGCCTGTTTGCTAGAACACAAAAATTCAAAGTTATGTTCAATATCTGACCGATTGAGTCTTAAGTCAGGTTCTGCATTTAATCTGTTTCTATCTTTATCTTTCAAGTAAGTATATGTGGAAAATCCTTTCTCACATAGATATGTTGTGCAAAAAGGTAATAAAATTCATTTCCAATACTGAGCCAAAAGTCTACTAAAGAGTGGTCTTTAAAAATCGCTTTTAAGGAGCTATCACAGGATAACTCAATAAGTTTTTCTTTTTGCAGTAAAGTTAGAGAGATCCAGTTATTTGTTAGACTTTTGTTAAACTTTTTTAGGATGGATTCAATTGTATCATGCACACCGAAGATGATGATACCTGTGCCTTGCAGTGATAAATTTAATTCATTTAATTTACAAAATATATCAGCTAAATATGCAAACTTTTACAGCAAACGAATATCAGATTCAGATTTTAACTCAAACAAGCGTGTCAAAACTTTGCCACGCGAAAGTCATCTAACTTCCATGTAAAGTAATAAAGAAATGTGAAGGCTTTCAAAGTCTTCACAAAGCGCATGAAATAGACGGAAATTATTAGATCGCGATTTTATAAAGTAGGAATACGCTTACATGCTAATGCTTGTCTATGTATACAGCAATGTGTCCATTCAATTGTTTCGTTGATCTTCTTTACCCTTGCCATAAAACCAGAAAATTTTCATGTCGTTGATTTTGCACCATCTGTGCACACACTCACACAATAAGACCAGTTTATTCAATTTTTCTCAAATTAACCATATCAAATATTGCTTCTCCAGTTGTATAGGTTTTTAGAGATTTTGCAGTGCTTTTTGCAAAATCTTTATCAACATATCTTCCTGAATGGAATTCTCAAAAGTGTGTCTAACATACACAAGCAATATTGCAGCGTTTGCTACATCGGTCGACTCGTCAAGCTGGATCGCAAAATAATTCAATTTAATTCTTTTCAAAAGCTCATTCTCCACATTACTTGCCATATCATAAATTCTACGCGATAGGTACTGTATTATTTGATAAAGAAACTTGGTCAAATTTTTTTTGCCTTTTTTCCAAGCATGCTCTTTACAATGGTCCAACTAAATTTTATGGAATTGTAATCATGTTACAACGATTGGATCTTGCATAGCTGCAGTAACTCCTACTAAATTTAAAGAGTGATTATCACAATTAGTGCTTTATTATTTTTTTCTATAATTGCTTGTTGAACGCCAGATAGATGACCTGATATCACGGCAGCATTATCATAACATCATATTGATAAACTTCATAGATTACCTGCAAATATTATACGCGACGCTTCTGCGCTAATTAGAATGGAACAAGCGACACGTATTGTAATACTTTTGTTATTAAAAGAGAAATTAGTGTGCACTATTAAACACAAGAAAAGAAGAAAACAAGAAGATGGAAGGAAGTGTATCTTCATTCTGATCAACTTTTGACATCGAAACGACTGTATTAACTACTGATTTATTAATAATAAAAGGGGAAGTCCGAAATTTCTCACGATTACCGCACGACAAATGAATTTGTTCTATTTGTTGAATTTCATTATCATATAATTGTTTTTATAATTACAAGTGACGTAGTTCTTTTGATTGTAATATTTTTAAAATAAAATTCATAACAACGTTCTTATAGAACAACAATATTTACATTTATTTAAATAACATAAAAATTTTCATAAATCAAATACATTATTCACATCCTGCATCAGCTGGCCAATCACAAACATTAAGGTCAGTGTTGAAATGAAGTCCATCTGGGCATGGCATATCATAGGCAACTCCCCAGTCGCATTGGCAGAATCTACCACAGGTTTCTGGGTGGGCAAAGTAATGAGGGAAATCACCATTTTCTTTTGGGCATGGATCATTTGGGCATTTGCCTTGACCGTTTCCATCGCNTTGGCAGAATCTACCACAGGTTTCTGGGTGGGCAAAGTAATGAGGGAAATCACCATTTTCTTTTGGGCATGGATCATTTGGGCATTTGCCTTGACCGTTTCCATCGCCACTTTCGTCACTTTCGGAGCTAGAACTAGAGCTGGAGCTAGAGGAATCTTCTTCAACATTGCCATCTCCTCCCTCAACTTCTTCATCATCACCTCCTTCAACTACTTCTTCATCGTCCCCTTCATCGCTTTCACTGCTGCTACTGCTGCTGCTACTTCCACCGTCATCTCCACCATCACCGTTGCATCCAGCTTTATCGGGCCAATCACAGACTTCCAATTCTTTGTTGAAATGTAAATCAGATGGGCAATCGAATTTGACGGGTTTTCCCCAATCGCATTTGTAAAAGACGGTGCAATCTTTATCATCTACCAAGAAATCAACTTTATCCGGGTTCATGTCGTCGGGGCATTCACCAACTGGGTCGGCTTTGGCATATTGGAAAGCCAATACAAAGGTGGCACATAACAAGAATGTAACTAAAATATAAAAGTAAAGTTGTAGCTAAGTCTATTAAATTAAAATCGTTATAAACATACCTTTCATTTTGATATGTAGTCAAATTGCTGTTATCGAACAATTCGAATAATAATTTAGCGTGCGAAAACCCTGTTTTATAGTATAAATCAAAAAAAATGCCGATAATTTAATTATAAATAACAAATTACTATAATTGATAATTAATTAGTTTTGATAAAAGTAGGGTAACTAATAAGAGACACTAGATATTAATCTGCTATCGACACAATAGTTCAATACTTATAGAATAATAAAACTTTAAAGAAAAAATATGAATGGTTATCAATCAATGAAACCGGATGTAATATGATTTTGTTAGGTTGTTTTGAAAAAATTGTTCGCTCTGATTACATATTTTTAGCTTTTCACTAAAACTTCCAATCACAACTGACCAATGTAAAATTTATCGAGGATGATACTTAAAAATCTCTGTGTTAAAATACCCCGCAAGAAGAATTTCACCACTCACAAGATTGAACTAGGGCGAGGCAGTGTTTGAGCAAAGACCCCATCTTGTAGAAATCAGTTTTGTAAATAAGTCCCGACGATATCTACAGGGTGCAAAATATATTTAATGATGAGTTTTGGACTGTGTAGGAGGACTTTTCGTGGGGTTTCTACTATCCGTGTCCAATATTAGGCTTTTCAATTTCAAAATCGATATTTTCGCAACCATTCAATGACACAAAAGCAGTAATTTGTTGTGATTACTGAACATTTCTACGTAACATATATCGCTCGTTAAATGAAAAAAGTACCCGATTTTTTTATCGTGCCTAGCATCTTTTACCACTTTGCGATTTTTTTCCCGAATACTATCTGATGAAAAAATTTCAATTTTGAACGAATTGTAGACTGGTGTAGTAGTTTTAGCCAAAATACCTCATACACATTGCGTATGTCGAATCGCATTCTCAAAACACCTGGATTTATATTTTGTATTGGACCAAATATTTTGGCATAAAAAATTGTTTAACTATTTTTAGTTTTTCCAGAAAATGTTAAATAAGGTTAATTTTGTTTTGAACTGTTAATCATTTCCTGAAAATAATATTGGGTAAAGTTAGTTTTCTTATGAAATGTTAATCATTCCGGGACACAATGTTATGTAAATTGAAAATCGAAAATTGTTCCAACATCGATTTTACAATACGAGTTAAAGTCAGTGTTATACGTAGCAGTCGACTATTAGCGCAATTGGACATCCATGGTGAAGAAAGCCTTTACTGTGATGACAGTACTGCTATTGGGTTTTTGACACGTCGGCTCTTTGATAATTAAAGGTAATATTATAAATATAACGCTAATTGGACGAGAACAGGCGACACGTATTATAAAACTTTTATTTAAAAAAAATAAATTAATGTGCATGAGTAAACACGAGAAAAGAAGAAAATAAGATTCTCGGTTACGCACTTATCGAATAGATCTATTTTTGACATCGAAACGACTCTTTTAACCGATTTATTAACAAAAGATGGGAACTTCCAAAATTAACGTACAAATAATTTCTATTCTTGCAAGATATGGTTGTCATATACGTTTTACATTGAACTTAATTATCAGATAATTGATTTTTTATAACTGCATGTGAAGTACTCGTTTTAACTTTAACTAATATTTTTAAATATTTCTAAAATAAAATTCAAAGGAAAGTTCTTATTGCATAATAATATTTACATTTATTTAAATAACATAACCATTTTCACAAATCAAATAAATTATTCACAGCCTGCATCTGCTGGCCAATCACAAACATTGAGTTTAGTGTTGAAATGAAGTCCATCTGGGCATGGCATATCATAGGCAACTCCCCAATCGCATTGACAAAATCTACCACAGGTTTCAGGGTGGGCAAAGTAATGAGGGAAATCACCATTTTCTTTTGGACATGGATCATTTGGGCATTTGCCTTCACCGTTTCCATCGCCACTTTCGTCACTTTCGGAACTAGAACTAGAGCTGGAGCTACCGGAATCTTCTTCAACATTGTCATCTCCTCCCTCAACTTCTTCATCATCACCTCCCTCAATTACTTCTTCATCGTCATCCCCTTCATCGCTTTCACTGCTGCTACTGCTGCTGCTACTTCCACCGTCATCTCCACCATCACCGTTGCATCCAGCTTTATCTGGCCAATCACAGACTTCCAATTCTTTGTTGAAGTGTAAACCGGATGGACAATCGAATTTGACTGGTTTTCCCCAGTCGCATTTGTAAAAGACGGTGCAATCTCCATCATCTACCAAGAAATCAACTTTTGCCGGGTTCATGTCCTCTGGGCATTCACCAACTGGGTCGGCTTTGGCATATTGGAAAGCCAATACAAAGGTGGCACATAACAAGAATGTAACTAAAATATAAAAAATAAAGTTTTAGCTAAGGCTATTAAAATAAAATCGTTATAAACTTACCTTTCATTTTGATGGTTAGCCAAATTGCTGTAATAGAACAATTCGAATAATAATTGAGGAAGGTACTACCTGATTTTATAGCAATATTAAACGCGAAAAAATTCTAGATAACTATTATGATAATTGCCAATTAATTAGTATTGATAGGTATAGATATTAATCTTTACTATCAATCTTCTAGTTAAATACATATGGAGTGTGAAAAATACGATTATGAAGTGCTAGAAATAATCGTATCAATGAAATTTTCTAGTATCAATTTATTATTTCAATAACAATGATTACTATGATAAGATTTTAATGTCAAAATTAATTTCCTAAAGATCTCTCTAATTTCCTTCTTTTCTAGTAGTTGAAAAAACTGAGTATAGACACCAATCGACCATTAACAGTGATCTTGACAACCTATAATAAACAAAACTAACCAACTGCAAACCACCTGCGGAAAGGAATCTTGGAATAGGTCAGGTTTGTTTCAAATATAACAGGCCATCCCAAATCAAACCAACCCTGACGTACAGTAGCAGGGTGAAGAAGTATTGCATAAAGTACCAGTTTTACTTTGGGCTGCGCCGTCGACTGAAATTTTAGTACACAAACTTCATATTTATGCGTATTGCATTCGATAGGTAGTCGATCGGATAGCATGAGGTTTTGTTTAGTAGTTTTTACACAGTTTTTCACTCTTGATTGCACTTTTTACACTTCATTCCATTATTTTATTCCATAAATAATTTCGATTCCACCTAAAATATTAAATCCATAAATGGTTATGTCATTATGATGAAATTAGACGTTACGCCTAATTTGTATTAAAAGCGGTTGAAACGATTTTTATTTATGTAGTAGTGTGGTCATTTGTAGAAGCTAAATAATAATTTTGCGATATAAACATTTTCGGCTGTTTCAAATTTGGACACACTTGTTGGTAATAGCCCACTAAGAGATTCCTGCAAGGAGAGCTCAATAACTAATGCTGGTTGTGAAGAAGTGCAACACCAAGCCAACTACAATAACGTCTATTTGGCATTACTTATATTCTTATGGAGATCATATATTTGTGTCGTTATTAGAGTAAATTACTAATAGCCTGACAAGAGTATGTATACCACCCTTGCCATTTGAAAAAAATTGGGGAATGACACTCCCGCTTAGGAGGCTAAAGTTTGAGGTATAATTTTTGCGTCAAAAGTTGTTCCCCTGATAAACAAACTTATGTGTTTCAGGTTTATTTTGACAAAAATTTTCCTTGGAAGTTATATCCTTTAGCTCGTTTTCGAAAGGCCACCTGTAGAAAATTTAGTATAAAAGGTTTTCTTTTAACATTTCTTAATTATTCACGAAAACACACACTTGGCAACATAGTAGGGATTTCGTTTACAGTTTTGTCTTTCGGAAGACATTTAAAATGACTTGCCCTTAAATGACCCTTAAATGTCCCTAGTAACAAGATCGTCCATTTAGTACTGCGAGAAAACTTTCTTCAACTTCGGTATTGTTGATCATAGAGTAGTTGGACCAATCTATTTACCTAAATCATCTTAACGCATGAACGATTCGGGGACTGTAAAATATTAATTTTATTTAGATGGGCACGGTAACATCCATGGCCGGACTTCAGCCTGACAATAGTTGAAAGGAAATTTCTAGAAACGTCACGGCCACTATACAATTGATGGTAAAGTATATGAGGATATACGCCTGTGCTGATATGTTTGATCCCAGTGTCTGCACCAGTTCTCCTTTACAAGTTTTTCCCTGCAGATAGATAAGACCTCAGAAGAAGAAAGTTCGTTTTCAACTAGTTTGCCGCCCCCCATGCCGCCTTAGCTAGCTTATCTACGTGCTCATTATGGACAAAACCAGCGTGAGCCTTCACCCACAAAAGGTTTACCACATGGCCTTGACCATTCAACCTAGCGACATTGTTCAAAATTTCCACTATAACAGGCTGGTATTTCGAGAAGTGTTTCCTGTGTTTTATAGATAGTAGGACACTTTTTGAATCGGTGAATATACTAACGTTACTATTTGGGCGTTATAAATACTAGTGGATGGATTAAGTTTAAAACTGGCATGGTAATCAATAGTAGGTATCAAAAAAGCGCAACCAATAGATTTGGAAGCATCAGTATAAACAATCAAACTACACTCTATCCACTGCAAGGTCTCAAACAATTCTTTATTTTCCCAAACATCATTCCCATATGAGGGAGGAATGATCACTTGATGCGAGCCAAAGTACTCAAAAAAGGACGTACTTGGAAAAACCGAACACACCTTCCAGTTAATTTTTTGGAAATTCTTAACCGTTGGTTTTCTTCTTCCACTTTTCTTTCATATTCATTTATTTTCTTTTCAGGCAATAAACAGTCAATATGCTTGTTTTACCACTTTTTCTTTCTTTTTGTACTAGTCTTTCGCGCGATCTTTAGAAATGGTCGAATAGCTTCTGGTGAAGAAGATGTTGAGGGAATACTCCATTTCGAGCTAGCAGCAGCCGATCCAGCAATGCATTGAGACTTCGATGTGCATGTAAAAGCATAAATACTTTCTTCATTCGTCGACTTTGCAAAAGAGTTACTGTTAGACTCTACGCACAACTCTTTTTCATTTTGGCTGTTTGATAATTTTTAGTTTGTCTTTGTCCGCTCTGATAAATCACCTCCTGAAGTGTCATGTCTAATCTCTCGGTCAGTGACAAATCAGGATAAAAACTCATCGTCTCGAAAAACTTGGTTATTGAAGGGATGAATGTCCGTCACCTGATATACTTTTTCAATATTCTTGTTGATGATTTGGGACGTTTAAGTTTTTATTTTTAAAAGAACGTGCAATCCAAAACGCAAAATAGTTGTTCGTTCATTAGTAACAATGTCATAGCAACACAAAAAAAAAGATTATTAATAAATATTAGTTTTTGTCAAATAATTCGATTGAGTTCAAGTGATTTAAGAATAAAACCAAATAGAAAACCACAATTACTGGACGATTGCTCAGAGAACGGGTAGTTCTCTTGTATGTGATCACGAAACATTTGGCGACCGTGACAGGACGCAAGATTGGATTTACGTACGCGAGGCTGACGTGAAGATTTCCGTACGCGTGACGTTATCACTTTTGCGTGTTAGAATTTGTTTGGGTGTGGTTTTCGATAATGGACGAAGAAAGAAAGCGGCGTGCACTTCTTCGCAGCGCTTTTACTCGATCATCCCGAGAAGTAGACACTGTTTTGGCAGCAAGCAACCCTGATCTCGATGATTTGGAAGCTATTTTTAACCTCTTAGCGGAGAAAATGGGAGACCTAAAGGTTAGCGATGCTCAAATTTTAAAATTAATGATTGCGAACGGAGTAGCAGACAAAGATATTGATGACGAACTTGCAAAATGCGACGATTACCAGATTAAATTTTTTAAATTAAAAGTTCGTTGCAATAAAGTATTTTCAAACGCGGTATCGACGGCATCGACATCTGCGCCGATACTCGCAAATCAAAGTTTATCGCATAAATTCAAACTACCTAAGATCGAACTCAAGAAATTCGGCGGGGACATAAGAGAATGGTTAGCTTTCTGGAGCCAATTTAAAAAGGTACACGAGGACGAGGATTTAACACCGGAAGATAAATTTCAATATTTAATTTCGGCAATGATACCAAACTCGAGGGCCAAAGATTTAATAGACAGTTTTCCCCCGACCGCAGACAATTATGTCAAAGCAATTGAGACCTTGGAAGCGCGTTTTGGAAGAAAAGACATGCTCGTGGAAGTCTATGTTAGGGAATTGCTTAAGTTAGTGCTCAATAACGCATTGGGTCGCGGTGGAAAATGCCAGATGGCAACACTGTATGACCGATTAGAAACACAACTAAGAGCCTTGGAAACGCTGGGAATTACTACCGACACTTGTGCGGCCATGTTGTATCCGCTTGTCGAGTCCTGTTTACCAGAGGAATTGTTACGTGTCTGGCAAAGGACACCGGAACCCACAGATAAAGCAAGTAATCCGTCAAAGACTAGGCTCAATCACCTTATGGAGTTTTTGAAAGCCGAGGTTGAAGGAGAAGAACGGATCGCTTTGGCGGTGGAGGGTTTTGGCGTAGAAACCAAAGGAAAGCCTGCGAAGATGAAGAATGTGGAACCAACACAAGCCACAGCAGCGGGGCTCATCAACAATGGGCTTGCAAGCAAGTGTGTTTTTTGTGAAGGGAATCATCTTACGGACAAATGTTTTAAAGCGCAGAAAATGGATTTAAACGAAAAGAAAAAGATTTTGAATAACAAAAGGGCCTGTTTTCGATGCGCACAATTGGGACATTTGAGTAGAAGATGTCGCGTGAAATTAAGATGCGTTCTTTGTGGAGAGCAACATATTGTTTTGTTGTGTCCCAGCTTAGAAGCAGATAAATCGGCGAGTCAACTTCAAAAGAAGACCGAAGATGTAAACTTGAGTAATTGCACGACTATGCACGTTTTTCTGCAGACACTTGTGGTAAAGATAACCGGGTCCGGCGGAGAGAAGGAAGTTCGGGCTATTATAGATACTGGATCTCAAAGGTCTTATGTCTTGAAATCTGTTGCCACCGAAATAAAGTGTCGGACAAAACGAACAGAAAGGATTGTTCATGCGTTATTTGGAGGAACTCAAACTGAAGAACAAGAACATCGATGCTATGAAATAAGATTGGTGCGTCTTGATGGTGAATTTGCCTGTAGATTTGAAGTTCTAGATCAGCCAACTATATGTTCCGCAATTCCCAATGTTTTTAATGGGGCTTGGACGACGGAATTAAAAAACGCTGGTATTAAATTGAGTGACACAGGCAATTGCCGTGAAGTATCCGTATTGATAGGAGCAGATGTTGTTGGGAAACTACTTACCGGTAAGAAACTGCAATTGAAATGTGGACTCGTAGCGTTGGAGACATTACTCGG